AATAAATGAAGGAATCATAAATCACATATGGCAAGTCAGTTTTAATCCATGACTGTTTCAGCAGAGTCAAGTATTCAAACCAGTATGCTGAAGGTCAAGTCTGACACACCATTCCACAATATTTTCTATAAGATGTTTAGAAGAATTCCAAAGAAATCTACAGAGTAGACTGGCAACAAGTAATTTTTCTAGAGATGTATTTCTTTATTAAATTTATCTGCTGCCCCACTCACCAAATTCTACTTCCAATCACTGTAACCAGCATGGGACAACTATAATGATGGTAAGCCCAATCTAATACCATCTGAAAGATCAAGCCTGAGATATACCATAATTCATAAAAGTAAACTTTATATGTTCAAGGCAAGCTGCAAAAAAAATTCATTTTTGTCAGTTCAACACAGACATTTTGCAACTTGTAAAACATTTACTAACAAAAGAGAAGGAAGATTTAGGTCCCAAGATGAATCACCAGCGACACCAACTGGTATTAGAAAGAAATGAATGTAAAATACTGTTCTTTCTTTCCAAAAGCTAATTTTTGGACTGACAACATTGCTGTAATCTTCATGTTTAATGTTGGTATATTGAAGAAACCATAATGGCTGGATTCAACCAAGGTGGTCAGCTGTAAGACAGTTTGTCAGTGTGAAGCCAGTCCCATTTGAAAAATGTACACTTCTCTGTAATAAGTTGAATTAGGAAGTAAAGACCTGATCACTGGTGAAATAGAAGATATTTCAGCAATATTTCCGCACTCCCACATTTCCTTTGGAAGCCTACTTTTGTGGCATAATGAAGGGAAGTGACAGCACATATAAAAGTCTAGAATTTTCTCAAATACGTAACTTTTCATCACACTTTTATACTTTCAGGGTAATTTACTTAAAACCTTTATTTTGGCCATTTAACTATGGTCCTACAAACAGTACCACTTGCCACACAATGTTTTCACGTTCGTGTGACAATATGAAAATCAAATCATCTTTAAAAAAATAAATTAAGCTATACTGTTTTACTTTATTTTTATTCGACTACTATTTCTGTAGTTTTATTCGACTACTATTTCTGTAGTTTTCCTCGGTCTGGAATTTCCCTTGGTCAAAGAGAGTAACATCAAAACCAACCTTTTTTATTTATTTTTTTTAAAAAACACCTCTTTTAAAACCTGTCCCTTTTTTTCCAGATGGGTCCTTCGTTTCCCCCCCCCCCCCCCATAAGGAAACAAGGTCACAGTAGGATATCCCTGTTGGATTTCTACCTGCCCAAGCCTCTCTGAGGGCCTTAAGGCCACAATTCCACAATTCCAACCGCCCCCCTCCCCCCCCGGGAAGACATTCCATCCTTCTCAGCATGTGCAGGATGATGGGAGTTGTCATTCCGACGCTTCTAAGGAGGACCACGGAGGGGGCGGTCCTTTCAAACCCCGGCGCCCCCTCCCCAGCCATGTCTGAGGCCTAGTATCCTCTGAGGGGGGGAATAAAAAGGGCGGGAAAGCCGAGGCGCCTTTATTTTGAGGGCCCCTTCGGCTTCTTCCGTTCCTTCCCTCCCTCCCCGCCGCGATTCTCACCACGGGAAGGCAGCCATCTTGGTTCCCTCACGTGACTCCCCGCCCGCGAGCGCCGCCCGACGCCGGAGCGGCCACGTTGGAGAAGGGCGCTTGCCCGGTTGCCTTGGCTACCGAGGGGCGGGGCGAAAGACTGCTTGGAACCGAGCCGGCGAAGGCCTTGACCATTTTAAGGCATGTGGACTTCAACTCCCAGAATTCCACAGCCAGCGTTGCTGGCTGTGGAATTCTGGGAGTTGAAGTCCACATGCCTTAAAATTGTCAAGGTTGAGAAACACTGCTTGAAAAGTGATGCTTATATTGATACTAGCTTATGCTGGTTTGGCCGAGCTATGTTGGCTTATCCGTAGGGCCTCAACTTTTTAAAGCAATGTTTTCCCACCTTGGCAGCTTTCAGCTGTGTGGACTCCCAACTCCCAGAATTCCCTGGCCAATCAGGGAAGTGCCCAGCAAGGGAATTCTGGGAGTTGGGATTCCACACAGCTGCAAAGCTGCTTTAGAAGCTTCCTACTAAATCATGACATTGCAAGGCAAGCGGCTGAAGGTGGCTTGTCCAAGAACCAGAGCTTAGGGTGACCACGGCTTATAGTTAGCCAGATGTGACTGGGTGCAATGTTGGAACTGAATCTTAGAATTGTTAGGATTCTTTGTGTCCTCCCCCCCCCCACTTTCTAGAATTGTGTTGTTGTTGTTTTCTCTAGGATCCTTGCTGCCTGGCTGGGACTGATGGAACTTGTAGGGCAGTCCCAAAAGCATTTGATTCCAGAAACAGATGATGTGTGTGCGCTTTCAAGCCGAAGAAAATAAATAAGCAGCAAGCACAAAGCAATCCATTTAAAGTATTTGCTTTTTTTCAGTGTCCCCTGACTGATCGCTGTCCCACAGCCTAGATATTAAGGTTTTATAAAGTGGAAAACTGAAGTCTGCACGGTTTTGATCATCCAAAATTATCCTTAGCATCACAGAAACAGGTTGAGGAAGAAAGTGTATATGCACGCAGACGAACACTTGAGGGTGGTTTTTTTTTTTAAAAAAAAAAGTTTAATTGTGTAATATACTTAAGGAGATTAAAAAAAAGGACAGGTGAAAACCAATATAAAAAAATAAGGCTTATAATAGCATGGCATTCCACTCAAAGAAAAGCAAACAAATATCAAAGAATAAATAAATATGAAACATTAAGTTACAAAAAGGCATCCTGGCACTTGTAAACAGAAGTCCATAGGCTGTTAAATTATAAATACAAAATTCTGTTCTAAAATATCAAAAGGTCCATTTAAATTACTGTACTTGTAGATAAAAACATGCTTCTATTTACATGCGGCGGCCTATGGCTAACCTCACAGCACACAGATTAGATTATTTTTAGCATCGACATAACATGTAAACTGTAGTCTAACATGCAAGGTAATATCCACATTTTTTAAGTCAGCTTGTGAATCTTCAGTTCAGACTTTATGAACCTCAGGCAGGAGCATTGAAAATAAGATTTAAAATCAAAACACAGTGAATTATTCCCGTGACAAACGCTTGCATTATGCTGCTCATATTAGCCAAGGGCAATCTTTAAAACCATGATTGGTTACATCACAATTTGTGGCTTGTCCATTTTCCCCATGAAAGCAGAGTTAACCTCTGTAGTTCACTGACTCCTATTTCAGACCTCCCTTCATTTAAGCAGATAAAACAAGCATAGAAGCCGATTGAAAAAAGCCAGAAATACAAAGCATTTGTGCAAAATTCAAATCAGATGCTTGTTTGACCAAATGCTTGTAATCAAGTTGGGGTTTGCTTATACATCCTGCTTTAGTCAGGATGAAAAATCCACAGGGGCTGGGGCTGGATGTTGCTTAAAATTTTACATTGTTGATTTGTTCATCCGTCTGTATTGGGTTTTTGTCTACAATAAACCAGGATAATCCAGCAAATTTGGATTACCGTTCTATCAATAATCCTTGACTTTTTTTTTACACTGGCATCAAGACAGCCCCAGTCCCAAATGTGATTTTAAAACATTGCATGGTGTAATAAAAGCATTAGGAGATACATGTAAGTTTATAAGCATCTTAGTCTAAATAACTGTCTCCATGTATAAAGTTAACCCCATTTTTTTTAGCCGAACCTTAATTTTTCCATTCAATTGGGAATGATTTCAGTGATACCACATCTGAAACCACTACCACTGGCAAAACATTAATGTGAACATGTAAAATTAACATTAGACATTAACTGTGACTCAATAAGCTACTGGGATAAAGCACTGCTAAGCTAAAAACAGCACACCAATTTATTTCCCAACATGGTCTTGTTTCAATCTGTCAAAATCACATTAAAATCCACTTGGCTTTCCCCCCCCCCCCTCCAAAACAATATTTACATGAATTCAATTTATATTTTGAAATGGTTTAGTTCATCTAGCTTTTCTGTGAAATTTAAGATTGTGGTTAATCTCATCTTATACGTTGAAAGAGAAGAGATGGGCAATGTTAGTCCAATTTGCCACTAGTCCCATATTAAGTTAAGTAACATTGGGCTAATATAAGTTGGACAATGTTGGTTCAACTTACTATTAGCACTGGTTGTTCATTATTCAAATGTTGTTTATAAAGAACGCCCCCAGATATCTGAATTTAAAAAGATAAATGAGGCAAATGTTTATCAACATAAGTTTCCCTGCCCAGCTAATAGTTGTTATCATTTGTTAAAGAGATTTCTAGTTCACTTAGGACAAAAATCAAGTTTGATAGCATCTTTTAAATGAGATCTCACCACATGCTCAGAAACAAGACCCCAGCCAGAAAAAGGAGGTGGGTGAATACAGTATTTATACCCTCTGATTAACAGCATCATTGCCGAAAACTTAAACATATGTTCAGTAAGCGCCACCATGACCCTCCTGATTTCCAGAGGACTGAAGTGCCCAAGACAAGCTTTGCGCAACACAAAAGTGCAGCCACCTTTAGAAACAATCCAGAGAGACCAACAATTTGCTTTTCAGAAGTGCTTTGAACCATCCCAAAGCATGGCAGAGAGAAGCAGGAATGTAGGACATCTAAAGCAACTACACTTCAGGGTTATTTATTGCACAATTGAAAAACGCAGCCCAGGTTAAAAAAGATCCTTGAAAAATCCCCATGAAAACATCTACTTGAGGGGGTAAGCAAAGGCCAAAAACCCAGAACTCAAATGGAAGGCTCGCCTTCGCAGGCGTTCATATTTCCTTCACACCTTCATTCATTCATATTTCTTTCGCCTTCATTTGTATTTCTTTTGCCTTCATTCATTCGTATTTCCTTCGTCTTCATTCATTCATATTTCCAAAGTCTTCTGAGTCTCTTTAACAGGAGTACGTACAGATCTGTCATTGACCTGCATTTTGGAAGAAACATCTGGAGAACGTTGAAGGACAACGCTACACCACTTCCTAGCCTAGGGAATGCTGCCTTCTTAGGTTGTCACAACACTTGGCTTCTTTCTTGGGATTCTTCCTGCAGATACTCCTGAAAGCAAAAATCAGAAATCACTTCCTCTGGTTTATTAAAAGGTAACTAGCTTAAAATGCCAACCATTTTGTCACAAGCAAGCAGTTTTAAAGCAGGTGCAAATGGAAATTCTGTTCTCAAGGGCAGCTTAGCAGAGGAATAGCATTAAGTGTCCAACTACATATAGAAATAAATCAAGGTTGTCCATGATAGCGACGAGAAGCAGCGACAAACAGCTGTTTTTCGGCGTAAGCAGATTTGGGAAGTTTGAATTCCTGAACTTCTAAGAAACTCAGCAGGCCCACATTAAAATTAGATTTCGAATTATTTTGTCAAAACACTTCAGGATGGAGAAAAATCATTGTTGACAATTCTAGATAAACTGTGGGGAGGTACAAGAAAGCTGTGGAAAAGGTAGAGAGGTAAAACCACTGCACGGTGGGTTGGTTGATCTTTAAACAACTTGGATTCACAGTGATTTAATCTGTGGTTAGTCATGGCTTATTAAATAAACCACAATGGGTCAAGTTCATCCAACACACTAAAACCACCCAAAAAAAGTACTTCCCAACCCATGATGGCTGAGTTTTCTCTCTGCCCAAACCAACCCCCATTTTGACTTAACGCAATGGACAAAGCCAGACATGACTTGAGTATCGAAGTCACCTTTTTCAGTGCCGTTGTAACTTCAAACGGCCACTAAACAAATGGTTGTAACTCAAGGACTACCTGTAAACCCTTTCTGCCTTTTTTCTAAATTAATGTTAGCTTTCAGAAACCTTTTGTATCACATCCAAAAGAAAGTTCCACATGCAAAGCTCAATTAGCATCCAAGATCTTCTAAGGCCACACACTTCCCTTCGTCATATTACATACATATGATGTATGTATGAGGCACAAACATGCATAATCAGGTGAGAAACAGGTTAATGTTCCAGCCAGGAAGTTTTAGTTAAGACACACAAGAAACCCACCAACATTCAGGCATCTGGTGTTATCCACAAATGAAACACAACTAAAATATAAAATAAAAATGCCATCTGCTCAGTTTCTGAAGCTTTGCTCAGAGGAACCTACTATGGTGGACCCGAGTGAAACTGAGTCGCCTCTTCATGCAATCGGTGATCACAACTTTGGCATTTTGTGTGGTGTTCATTCCAGTGAGGGTTAGTACGGCGCAGTTAAGAGCACAGCTGTTGCACCAAAAGGAAACATCTGCTGCTGCTTGAGCTTCTTCTACGGAAAGCTTCCCTTTTTATTTGAGAGATCCCAGCACCGGATTTTGTGTACACACCTGAAGAGGCCTTGCTAGGCACTCTGCTGTCTGAGGGCTTCTTTCTATTTTGCTCAGCCCTTTTCACTGAGGCCTTAGAGGTTCTGATTGAATATAAAAGGGAGGTCATAAGTCACCTGCATCCACGGTAAAATGCTATTCCCCCACACACCCATGTACGAGAAGTTCTTTCTTACCCTTGTCTGGACAGCAGCCTTTGGATAGGAGCATTTTGACCTTGGTTGGGCTGAAGAACTCTGCAGAAGAAATAACATTTGGATTTTGTAATAATACCGGCTGCTTTCTTTTTTTAACAAAATTTTATTAAGTTTATATAAGTAAGGAAAAATAGGAACAATACAGGTGTGGTAAAGGGAGGGGGTGGGAGGTAAAGGGAAGGGGAAGGAAATAAAGGATTTAGGGTAAAATAAGGATAGGTACAATCACGTATTTCAACAAACAAGCTACCGTCCGGATCATAATAATGAGTAAATATCACATTCAACCATTTTTTACCAAAGTTTAGACTATAACATATTAAAAACAATTAGTAAACAAATACGTTGATCTATTAAGCAAACACTGCTAATAAAATCTCAAAAAATCCTAACAATCAAAAGTAACAAATGAAAATCAGTAAATCAAGAAAAATAATCATGCCATCAAAGTATTAGTTAGAACTCGGTTAAAAATCAGTCATCTATTCTAAAATATTGAATCCTTCAAGTTCTAACGTGTCTCTAACCATTGATAAAAAATTTTCCCAAGTTCTAAAATAAATGGAATCATCTTTTTCTTTCATTTCTAATGTTAATCTATCCATTTCTGCACACTCTAAAATTTTAGTAATTATAGTCTGGTCAGATGGCTGCTTTCTGATAGAACAGCAGGAGAAAGAGAGTAATGAAAACAGCTAGAAAATTCAGGGTGGAATGGGGGGGAAAAGCGAGGGACAAATACACAAGACAAATTGTTGTAAACACTTCAGGAGTTATTGGAAACGGGGAGCGTGCGAGTTTTATTATCAGTTCACAATAATGTGACGATTAGTAGTATATGTGCAGAACCAAGCAATTATTATTATTATTATTATTATTATGGTTGGTTGCACAATTAGCCAGCTGTTTAGACTGGATTTGCACGATGAGGATGGTATAACTACAATACTACTTAAAATGTTACAAACCTGTTTTCGAAAATCTTTTGCTTCCCAATTGCTTTTTTATTTGGGATTCCCATTTCAGCAGCCCTATTGGGGGGAAAAGCAGCACGTGAAAATAGAGTTTGGGAGAAGACAAAATTATCTTGTTGTGTGTAAGATATTATAAGCAAGCACAGGATTCGAGTTGCCTTATTTCTATCTCCTTGTTTTGTTGAAAACTGCAAACAAAGGGGGTGAGTTGCCAAACCATGTGCAAGCAGGATGTACATATAGCTTTAGAAAAGACAAGATTTTGAGCATTTTCAGACATGGCTGGCTGGGGAATTCTGGGAGTTGAAGTCCACAGATCTTAAAAGTTGCCGAGGTTGGACACCCCTGATTCAAAACCAAGGTTCCCACTTTTTGACGGCAACTGACAAACCTTAAAACATCAAGCACTTTGCCAACACATCTACAATATCTCCGCGTGCTGCTTGCACGGTTGTGTTACCGTTTCCGCCACGTACTTTATATACTTCTTTCTATCAAGAGACTTCTGCGTAGCTGTAGAAAGTGTCACTCTTGGGGACTTGGCTTTATCCTAGACACCCAACAATTACGAGACGTTAGTTTTATCACAAGACAATTTGTAGGATATTACGTTGAACAGAAAATAACCTCGCCTGAATTACAGTTAGAACAAGCTGTGATCATGCGTCTTGGTGACAAACTGTATTTAAAACCAGCCTTAAGGCTTTTCAAAGTCCCAAAGAAAACAAAAAACAGAGGTTGCTGCGTAGAACGAGCACAGTAAGTGATGTGTGACCGCCACGCACCAGCTGCCGAAGCATTTTCTCTTTGCGGATTTCTCGATCTTGACGCAAGATGCTCATCCTTTCTGACGCTTCCATTTTGAAGAAAATATCGTGAATATCGTACAGTGCCGCCTGCAGCTGAAACAAACAAACAAACATCAACTAAACTTCAAATGCTACAATCTTGCTCAGATAATATTCACAAGAAACACCTAGATACCACACAGAGTCTTTCAGGGTAGCCCCAAAGAAATTCGTGGACTTCAACTCCCAGCCAACATGGCTGGCTCAGGAATTCTGGGAGTTGAAGTCCACGAGTCATAAAAGAACCAAGGTTGTCTATTCCTGCCCGACTACATCTTGACATTATTTTCGTTTTACAGAATGTACCTTTTGTGTGTTTGAGGACAAGCAGTCCTCGACGTACACGTTGGTTTAGTGACCATTCAAAATTACAATGGCACTGAGGGAAAAAAATTGTGTGAATGTTTTTCACACAACCGTTGCAGCATCCCCAGGGTCACGTGATCAAAATCCGGATGCTCAGCCACTGGTTCATCTTTATGACGGTTCCAGTGTCCTGGGGTCACGTGATCCCCTTTTGCGAACCTTCTGACATGCAAAGTCAACGGGGGAAGCCAGATTCACTTTACAACCGTGTTACTAACTTAACAACTGCAGTGATTCATTTAACAACTGTGGCGAGAACGGTCATAAACCAGGGCAAAGCTCACTTAACAAATAGCAACAGATTTTTGTATACCCCTTACCCAGGGGTAGGGAACCTTGTCTCTTTTATGACTTGTGGACTTCAACTCCCAGAATTCCTGAGTCAGCATGGCTGGTTCAAGAATTCTGGGTATTGGAGTTCACAATAAGTCATAAAAGGGCCAAGGTTGCCTATCCCTGGCCCTTACCTGCGCGACCACTCTTTCTTGGAGATTGGCATCTTGAGCTGGGAGATTCCCTCTCTTCGACAGCGCTTCGGATTGGAAGTTTTTGATGAACTCCATGGTATCCTACAAAAAGCAGACACATGTACACGGTTTGTCCTACAAGTACAGTTCTTCTCACAATGAATTCAAACGCCAAGCCACTGAGGCGACGGTTGCTTCAAGGAAAGCGGGAAAGTTCCTCCAAAGAGAATATCTGCCAAATAATTCATTTTCAGGGAAAACTGATTAGGAACAGGATGGCACTGAAGAAGCCGTCAGGTAGGCCTCTAATAACTTTGGTTTCATGGATGAACAAAATCACCGTTGATCTCCTAATGTCACTTGGAAGCTGAACTGGACAAGATGGAAAATGGATTTTCATGGGATTCCAACTTTTGGGGTCACTGTGGCCAGGGAAAAGAACGATGGTATAGGTAGACCTATGACTATAGTTGGGCCTGGAATTTTGGTCCTACGGGTAAATAGAATAATAGTTGTATGTTGAGGTACCCACATGATTGAACGCAATTTTTAAACTATTTCTGCAGACAATTCAAGTTTCTAAAAGAGCAGCTGGTGCAGAGAAAGGAAGAGAGGGGGGGGGGAAGCATTCTGCATTTTAATTATGTGTACATGCACATTCACAGCCAGAGAGCCTATGCAGCTGGTTCCTTACGTGGACTGTTTGTCTAAGATGCTTCAGCTTCTCTGTTTGCAAAAGTCTTCTGGTTAAAAATCCCTTGGCTAGAGCAGAGATCTTGTTGAATTTCCTTTTCATGGCAGGACTGTACACCTTCAAGAGGAAAGGTTAAATTCAGGTAACCACAAGGGTATTTCACCCATTAGCTTGCATTTAATCACCTAAAAAAGCAGCATTTTAATCACCTAAAAAAAGCCTCCATTATATCAGTCGGATGCTATGGCATTTTATATGCATTTCCTGAAAATGGGATACCAAATTCCCACACTAATATTAGCATAAACAACAAGTATTAATAAAAAAAATGGGATACCAAATTCCCACACCAATATTAGCATAAATAACAAGTATTAATAAAAAATGGGATACCAAATTCCCACACTAATATTAGCGTAAGTAACAAGTATTAATAAAAAAAATGGGATACCAAATTTCCACACTAATAAAACAGCAATGACCAAATGGCGACTTGCACCAATCAAATGTTAATATTAATTCCTCTAGGATTTATTTGCCAACATTTCTCTTTAAATCCTTACCTGAGACCACCTCATTTTACTCCGGCTAATAGACCTGGATACCAAAACCGGTTTTCCACTTGCTGGCTGATCCCAGAGGTAGAATGGAGACCCAGTGTTCCCAAAACCTAGGTTTGAAAAGTTGTTAACAGTCGAAGTCATAATTAAGCAAACAAATTATCAAAGCTAAATAAACGGGTATTGGCGATAGGCTATTCCTTATTCGTGCCAGCTAAAATATTCCATGGTCGTTACTCCGTCTGTCTGGATCATGGAAATAATACAGGTAACCCTCGACTTACCACCATAGCTGAGCTCACAATTACAATCATATGTCTTTAAACAGGTCGCCACATGACCAGGCCTGATTTTATGAGCTTTTGGCAGTTGTTAAGTGAATGCGGCAGTGGTAAAGTGAATGGCACAATCCAGGGGTAGGCAACCTTGGCTCTTTTGACTCGTGGACTTCAACTCCGAGAATTCCTGAGCCAGCCATGCTGAGGGGAAAGGGAGAGATTTCCATGCTGAGCCATGCTGGCTCAGGAATTCTGGGAGCTGAAGTCCGCAAGTCATGAAGGGGCCATAGTTCCCCCATGCTGGCTCAGGAATTCTGGGAGTTGAAGTCCACGAGTCATAAAAGAGCCAAAGTTGCCTACCCATGGCACAGTCGTTAAGGCTACACAGTGGTTGTTAAGCAACTGGTCGTAAATAGAGGACTATCTGTAGCCTTAAAGGTTCAGTTCTGTCTTTCAGGAATTATACAGGAAGGGAATGGAGAGTTTCTGTGGTTTTTAATACTTAATTCGAGATAGTCAACCCCAGAAAACACATGAAACTTCAATCTAATGCGAAGGACATGTTCTTCGTGTTTTATTCCCCCTGGGGCTACATATTCATCCATATTTTTGCTTTTACCCTCATTCTCCAGGTTGGTGCTATGGACAGCCTCCACTTGATTCAGCACAGACTCCAACAGATTAGTATCCGTGATTTTTCTCCACTCCAGGGCTACACCACTGCCAATATTCATTGGAGGAATCCCACTTGGAGTTGTGTTTTTGTCCTCTTTTAATCTCCGGGCCTGATCTTCGATCTCCTGGCCGTTTAAGAAAACAGAGAGGTGGGTTACAAACCAGCATTCTGAGGATACAACAAATGTCTCAAGGACAGTTTTTTTCTAATGAAAGCCTGCCTTACGTGACCTCACGCCGGACTTTTTCATTCTCCCAATCTGGTCGTTTCATTTTAAGGATGTCTCCCTTAATTTCATTTGAATCTTCATTTGAATCTTCGCTGCCAATCAAATCCACCCAAGATTAAAAATGTCCACCCACCTGGCTTGATATTTATTAAATATTCTTTTTACAACTCAAGACACGGTTTTGGCCCTACTTTGTGCATTCCAGATGGGTTGCAATGACCCCTTCCCAGTGTTCCTCAGCTGGGGATTCTGGGAAATTTGCCCTGGGATAGATCCAGAGAGCACCAGGTTGGGGAAGGCTCATCGTGAGATCCCTATCCCGGCTTTTCAATCCCAACCCTTTGTTCACAGTCAGAATCCCTGCACATCCAGGTTTCTGGCAAAGTGGGAAAGGTCCAGGATCTCTACCTCCAGGGATTTCCTTCGGCTCTTCTCACCTTCTGGAGCCTCTCCTGTTCCCGCTCCTGCTCTGCTATCAACAACGACAACTGCTGGGCATGTTGCTCTTCCAGCTTTTGCCTCAGCTCTGCAAGGGCCTGCATCTTCTGCCTTAATGCTTCCTCTTCTGCAAAGCACCGAGATGAGATATAATCAATTCCTGTAAAATCCAGGGGTTTTAGAGCCAGTTTGGTCTAGTGGTTAAGGCAAAAGACTAGAAAGCAGGAGACCGTGAGTTCTAGTCTCGCCTTAAGCATGAAAACCAGCTGGGTGACCTTGAGCTAATCACCAGGAGACGGTGAGTTCTAGTCCCGCCTTAGGCATGAAAACCAGCTGGGTGACCTTGAGCTAATCATCAGGAGATGGTGAGTTCTAGCCCCCCTTAGGCATGAAAGCCAGTTGGGTGACACTGAATCAATCACCAGGAGACGGTGAGTTCTAGTCCCGCCTTATGCCTGAAAGCCAGCTGGGTGACATTGAGTCAATCACCAGGAGACGGTGAGTTCTAGTCCCCCTTAGGCATGAAAGCCAGCTTAGTGACACTGAGTCAATCACCAGGAGACGGTGAGTTCTAGTCCCGCCTTACGCATGAAAGCCGGTTGGGTGACATTGAGTCAATCACCAGGAGAGGGTGAGTTCTAGTACCGCCTTACGCATGAAAGCCAATTGGGCGCTCTAATCTCACTTTTCACAACTTCTCTCTCTCTCTCTGCTGGTTGCCAAGTCCCCGAATTTTGATCACATGACCATGGGGATGTTGCGATGTCGTGAGGGCGCGTACTGGTTGTCGGTCACTTTTCCCACAGCGCCACTGTAACTTTGTACAGTTGCCAAACAAACCATTGTGAAGTCAAGGACTACCTGCACGGCGTCTATTTCCTTACCTCCGAGACATGGCGCTGGCGTTTTGTTCTTGACCTCAAGTGCAGCTCTGCCCGGATACCTCTGATCGTGCGGCCGTCGCCTCTCCGGCACGTCCATTTCCGCAGACGCGACCCACGGCGTGTTTTCCTTCTGCACTGCATCCCCCTCCAGCTCGAGTCTCCGTTTCACTTTTTCCAACCCATTCTCCAAAAGGTGCTCCTTTCCAAGAGTCGCTTCCGGGGTATCCAGAGGCGGCTTACCCTGCATCTGCATCAGCAAGGGCGATGGGCGCGCCACGTCGTAGGATTTGTTGAGTTCCGTGGCCACGCTGCCCTTGACCTTGTCCGGCAACCTCTCAATCCTGGCTGGCTTCTGGGTCAACAGGGCACGGCTCACATCCTGCAGCTCCTGGGGGCTGAGATTTGCAAGGCAGCTGCTTGATGCGGCTCTATTTTCTAATGTCGGTCCTCCCTCTATTGTGGGATGGGCCAGGAAGCTTCCACCTTCTTGCTGATGGGCTGGAAGCTGACACACTTCATCATTGAAGGTATCTGAAGAGTTGTTGTCCGCCGCCTGAGCTTTGCGGGGACACACGGGGACGAGATCCGCAGAGAGATTTGGCACGGGATCGGAGGCCGTCGGCCTCTCTCTGGCATCCTGAACGATCACGTCCGCAGCCCTTCCCTTTCCTTGGGGACTCAACTCGGAGGCGTTCACGGGGTTGGTGATGACAATGTGGCCGACGGAAGAGGGCCTGGGGCGTCTCCTGTGCATCTTGGGGCTCAGACTTGGCTCAGGACTGGGAAGTTTCGAGTAAGACCCGGTGAAGCTCCGGAGAACGCTGTCCTTTCCGAAGAGAGAGACCTTTTTGAATTCTTCCTCCGAATCCGAGTCCAAAACGGGAGGCGTTCCGGATCTCATCGGGATATCGACTTTAGAAAAACTGGGCGAGGCTGCACCACTGGATAGATTTTTTGAGATCGAGGAAGGTTGAGGAACACCGGGCTTGATAAGGCTGGATTTCTCCAGGGATGGAACTGGAGTATTCCTGCCTGTCAATTTTCCTCTCTCTTTCCCCAACTCGTTCATTTTAACGGCGCTGTTTTCTTTATCCGGGTGGCTTCCGGTGCTGTTCCTCTTGGAACTGCTTCGCAGGCTGCGTCGTGTTTGTTCTCGCTGAATGTACTCCCTGGATTTTTTTAAGAGGTTCTGAAGGCTCATGACGTATGGGTCGGGAGCTTCCCCAGCACCTAGCCCAGGGTCAATGGAATCCATCTTCTTGGTAATCTCGTTTGAAGGAGAGGTGCCTGGAAGCCTGGAAAACGGACCTTCTGAGCCAATTCTCTCTTCTGAACGATTACTCGAAGTTTCCGTGGGATTAGGAGGGATAAATTGTTCTGTTCCTTCAAAAGAATTCCTGTTTGATGCAACCTGTGTATCTATTGGCTTAATATCTGGGGTCTGTTTAGGCTCTAAAGCAGTAGAATTTGGCAAAACGCTGCACAGTTCTGTTGCAGAGTCGTTCAATATTTCTGATTCTAAATCCAACTGAATATTCTCTTTCTCAGACTGATCTAAATCGTTTTGGCTGGACATCTTTTTCATCTGTCAGGGTTAGAAAAAAGATTGATTTAAAGTGCTCGGTTAAAAAATTAGTAGGTTGCTCTAAAAGTCCTCCCCCCCAAAAAATGTAAAAGGTATACTGGATAGGATCCACGTAATTGAGATGGTCAACCTGTTTACCCACTCAAGCCTTTACTCATTCCATCCCATTCCCACAAACCTTTGGGTTTTTAATTGCCTTTTAAGATTGATTTTATTGCACAACGCTCCGAATCTTTACAGAGCTGGGCAGGCTAATAAACGTGTGTAATGCGTAGCAAATAACTTTTAGAACTAAATTTTTTTTTAAAAAAAAATCACAGTGATTACAAACAGGATTGTAACCATTCCTGAGAGAGGGATCAACTGATCAGTGGATTTACAGACAAAATGCAAATTTTGGGCCGATGTAGCAACCTAACCCTAACCGTACAGATTTTAATTCATCCGATTTATTTATCCGATTTTTATTACTTCGTAAGTAACTCAAGGCGGTGGACATGCCTAATGCTCCGTCCTCTTTCTATTTCCTTCACAACAACCCTGTGAGGTGGGCTGGGCTGGGCTGAGAATGACTGCCCAAGGTTACTGAGCAAGGTTTCATGCCTAAGGCAGAACTAGAACTCACAGTCTCTTGGTTTTTAGGCAGGTACAGTGGTAGGCAACCTTGGCTCTTTTATGACTCGTGGACTTCAACTCCCAGAATTCCTGAGCCAGCATGGGGGAAACTTTGGCTCCTTCATGACTCGTGGACTTCAATTCCCAGAATTCCTCGTGGACTTCAATTCCCAGAATTCCCAGCATGGCTCAGCTTGGAAACCTCTCCCTTTCCCCTCAGCATGGCTGGCTCAGGAATTCTGGGAGTTGAAGTCCACGAGTCATAAAAGAGCCAAGGTTGCCTACCCCTGGGCTTGGCAATGGGTGGATAGCTATGCTGGCTCAGGAATTCTGGGAGTTGAAGTCCACGAGTCATAAAAGAGTTGCCTACCCATGGGCCAGTACCTTAACCACTACACCAAACTGGCTCTCAATTTGATCTGTCACAATTTTTAAAAGGTTATTTTTTTTAAGTATAAAGAGCGTCAAGTTAATCAGCCAACTACTGTATAGTTGCAGGCAACTCTTAAACAAGACAATTAATTGCCTGCAAGCTACGGCACGGTTAAAAATACAATTAATTGCCTGCAAGCTACGGCACGGTTAAAAATACACACTGTGTAGAAGAAATGTGACTATTATTGTATTCTCAAAGCGCTCTTGCCATATCTTCTGAATCCCAGGCTAGGTAATGGTTGCCAAGTGCACGCTAGTAAACACAGCAAGAAATTGAATGGGGCATGTTCGGGCTCCTGTTATCGCTCCAGCTAAACAAGCTGAGCTAACAAGTCAGCTACTTTAAAGCAACAAAGCCCCATTGTTGGCTGAAATCCACTTGCCTTGTGCCTGTCAAGCACCAGGACAATCTCATTCACCACTTCCAGTTACCACACAGATCTCTTTAATTCAATAGTAACGGTGTCAACACCCTAATGTGCCTGCTACAGAAAGAAAAGAAAAAAATACACAGCATTTATGAGAGGGAGGGACGGGCCCCTGTGCCTATTTACATGGGTTTGTTACAGTAAACACAATAAGGAGGAAATGTCAACACTAACTGTCCAGATTTGTTCCAGATTTGTTCCAGATCAAAAGGGCCCAAATGCTGCATTTAGCAAAAGTAAACTTGGGTTACCTAAAGGTACGCTCCAATAAATCTGCTAGGGGTGTTTACAGGTGCACCCAGATCCTTTGTTAAAATATATGAAAGAATGAATCACGACCTATACACCACACACATACACACACACAGAGAGAGAGAAAGACTAGCACTGATGATGTTACCTAGTTGGGTAATGAAACGTCTGCAAGAAAACAACCAAGCTCAGAGCACCAAGGAACCCACAGTCTTCCTTTACCACCTCCTCCTCCTCCTCCTCTCCACAACCCCAACTCCCTTCTAGCACTGATGATGTTACCTAGTTTGGTAATGAAACGTCTGCAAGAAAACAACCAAGCTCAGAGAGCACCAAGGACCCCTCATTTCAACTCTGAGCTACAAATATTCTCCTTTGTTGGTTAACGTACACACAAACACACACACACACACATACCCATACATGCATGTCTTGTCCAATTGCCATCCTGACATCTTACTTTAATTCTCAACAGGATTATTTAACGCAATTTAATTATGTGATTAAATGTAAAACAGAGATTTTGCTCCTGGAGAGCGAAAGGGCACAGGCGCCTGTTCCCTTCGAAATATGTTGCAGATAAGGCAGCTTCCCCAACTCTAAAAATAAACGTTTCAAGCTCACCTGTACGGTGGCCACTATTTCTTCAACGCGGGTCAGCAAAATCCTCTGCTTGGAATTCTGTCGCCAGCGTTCTAGATCCAGAGCTTTCTGTCTGTCTTGCTGAAGTTCTTTCTTTTTCTCCAGAGTCAGCTGTAAAAGCAAGGGAGACAAATTATTATTGCCATCTCATATCAGTGGAGATTCTTAAAATAACTGAAGGAACCTCTTGGATGAGAAGCGAAACGTTTTCAAAAGAAAAAAAAAAACAATCAAGAAAGTCCAGTTGCCTTTTTGGGGGGGAAAAGTACATATGGGACCATCATGAGCTCACGCTTTATTAAATGTCATTGATTTAGGGTCATAAAAAGGGAGGTTTTTTTAATCTATTCAGCCAGTGCCCCCAGAAACAGTACCAAAGTTACAAGTGACTAAGATTGTAAAGCTTCAGGAGAAAGACCCCCACACATAAGCAAAGATACCAAGCATTGAAGCCAGACCCAAAGTTTTCTCAATGCAATTGCACTGAAGCCAGCAATTCACATTTTGAGAAATTTGGAAAGAAAAGACACTAGATAAAAAGTAAACCGTTTTGGTCCAGCGCTCACAAAAAGCAAGAAACGGGCACATGAGCTCTAGTAAAGGACTACTAAAGATTTCCCCAGTGCACATCCTTAATTATTCTTATTTTTTAAAAAAACATTTTTGTATTAAATACAAAGGAAAAATTAAAAAACATTGAATGTAGTGTATCATCTTTGACATATATCTTTGTCTGATCATTCCACACTATACATATACATTATACATTTCAGATATTCTTCCTCTACTTATATCCCTTCTAACGACTTCCCTTTCCCCCCCTCCATTTGTAAAATTTATTCCAAATTAAATAGTATTCTGTTTCCTCCTGATTTTTTAATTCTTTAGTCATCTTATCCAATTCTGCGCAATACAAAATTTTCCTTATTAACGTATCTCCGCTAGGCACTTCAGTTGCTTTCCAATTTTGGGCAAACAAAATTCTTGCCGCCGTTATCACATGTATGATTAAATATATATATCATCTTTGTTTATATTTTTTTTCTAATATTCCTAGTAGTAGCATCTCTGGTTTATATTGGATTTTTTGACCCGTCATTTCTGTTATCCATTTCCAAACCCTAAGCCAATAAACCTGTACCTCTTTACAAGCCCACCAAACGTGAAAAAAGTACCCTTTTCCCTTTTGCACTTCCACTTAATGGAAGAGGAGAAAAAATTATTTGCTCTAAAAATAAGAAAAAAGCAAGGCAGAAGATTCCCAATGTACACACAGCAAGGTGTCCAACATAATTCAAGTGGAGTCACTGTCTTTTTTTACATGGACATAATGAAGCCAACTTACCAGAGGAGAAAGCACGGGGACCCCATTAAATCGAATAAGGGATACATTTGTGGGCTGAACAACAGAAGGCATTCTGTTCTCCATAAACTCTCCTTGAATCCTAGCCAGGTGCTTCTTGCAGAATTTCTCATATTCCTCCATCTTAAAATGCAGTTGGGCTGCAGAATGACACAGAGAGAGAGTGAATGAGTGAGTGAGTGGGGGGAAAAAAAACCTCATTTGCAAATAACAACTCAGCATATACTGTATTCAACAATACTTGTCACTCTACCTACAATTCCCTGGTTAATCTGTCTCTGTTGTTACTGCTAGCCTGGAAAATTGTATTACCAACTGAAGGAACTCTGCAACAGAGCTCTACAATTGTTATGGAAATCAAGATGAAAAACCAATACCTCCGCAACCGAAATCAAAAGACAGCAATTATTATATTGTACCAAGCAAAACTACTATATATATATATATATATATATATGTGTGTGTGTGTGTGTGTGTGTGTGTGTGTGTGTGTGTGTGTGTGTGTGTGTGTGTATGTGCATATGTATGTGTATGTATGTATATATTAAAGCTTAAAATTTAATGCTGCTTGATAACATTAAGTGCAGCTCAATATTAACTACAGCCTCACATGAAGTAAAGCTTAAATATTTAAATACATTTTAATAATAAGCCAAGCTGAAAATCATATACATGTCAATATTAACATGTATACAGCCCCAATTTAAGCACAGCCTAACATTAAGCGAAGCTTCACCTTATATGCAGCTTAAATGAATCCCCCCCCCTTGCTCTCTGCAGACCAGACCCCCGACAGTGCCGCCCCAGACAGGCCCGCAGCCCCCTCGGCTCTCCCACCGAGGATTCCCCGGCCGCCTCCCCGTTTCCAACGAGCGCAAACTGCGCGCCTTCGCCGCTCCTGCCCACTGAGGCCGGTCCTGCCCAGCGCCTGGCAACGCTGGGCACGGCCCCGCCTCTTCCGGCGTGACGAAGCCGCGGCCGTTGCAAGCCTCCCGCGGCGTCTCCAGGCAACCGAAGGGAAGGGCCGGAAGTCAGGGGTCGCAACGGACGGTCTCCCCGACTCTTGCATTCTGGGAGTTGTAGTTTCAAAGGGGAAAGGGCCCTTCAATAGAACTGGATTCTTGGATGGAAATGTAGTTTTCTTGGCCACTTTGTCTTTTTTGAGGAATACATCTATTCTATTCTATTCTATTCTATTCTATTCCATCTTCTCTAGTCTAGTCTAGTCTAGTCTAGTCTATTCCATCTCTTCTCTTCTCTTCTATTCCATCTCTTCTCTTCTATTCCTATTCCATCCTATTCTATTATATTCTATTCCATCTTCTCTTCTCTTCTAGTCTAGTTTAGTCTAGTCTATTCCATCTCTTCTCTTCTCTTCTATTCCATCTCTTCTCTTCTATTCCTATTCCATCCTATTCTATTATATTCTATTCCATCTTCTCTTCTCTTCTAGTCTAGTTTAGTCTAGTCTATTCCATCTCTTCCCTTCCCTTCTCTTCCTCTTCCTCTTCTATTCTCTTCTATTCCATTCCATTCCATTCCAATCTCTCTATTCTATTCTATTCTATTCTATTCTGTATTTCCATTCCATCCTATCCTATCCTATCCTATCCTATCCTATCCTATCCTATCCTATCCTACTCTATTCTATTTCTATTTCTATTCTATTTCTATTCTATTCTATTCTATTCTATTCTATTCTATTCTATTCTATTCTATTCTTATATGTCATTCCATTCCATTCCATTCCATTCCAATCTCTCTATTCTATTCTATTCTATTCCATTCCATCCTATCCTATCCTATCCTATCCTATCCTATCCTATCCTATCCTATCCTACTCTATTCTATTTCTATTCTATTTCTATTCTATTCTATTCTATTCTATTCTATTCTATTCTATTCTATTCTATTCTATTCTTATATGTCATTCCATTCCATTCCATTCCATTCCAATCTCTCTATTCTATTCTATTCTATTCTATTCTATTCTATTCTATTCTATTCTATTCTATTCTATTCTTATACGCCATTCCATTCCATTCCATTCCAATCTCTCTATTCTATTCTATTCTATTCTATTCTATTCTATTCTATTCTATTCTATTCTATTCTATTCTATTCTTATATGCCATTCCATTCCATTCCATTCCAATCTCTCTATTCTATTCTATTCTATTCTATTCTATTCTATTCTATTCTATTCTTATATGCCATTCCATTCCATTCCATTCCAGCCGGCCAAGCCAATCCCGAGCACGCCAGGGCGCAAAATAAACCCCGCCCCTTCACGCCCTCCGCCTTCTTCTCTAACGCGATTGGCTGAGGCGGCCGGCGCGCGCGGGCCGCGATTGGCCGGCGGGCGGATTGTGTTGTCACCATGGTGAGGGGAGAAGGGCGACGCCGGGGCGGCCGGCACTGGGCCCTCCGCCCTCCGCCTGGCTCCTCCTGAGGCGCGGCGGCCGTCGCCATGTTCTGCTACTCGGAGGGGCTGCTGGTGGCCTTCTCGGCGGNCTATCTATCTATCTATCTATCTATCTATCTATCTATCTATCTATCTATCTATCTATCTATCTATCTATCTATCTATCTATCTATCTATCTATCTATCTCATCAGTCTGTTTATCTATGCATCCATCTTTCTTCTATCTATCTCATCTGTTTATCTATCCATCTACCTACCTACCAATCCAATCTAATCTATGAATGACCAGTAGGTTTTTATTTGGTATGCATTGGTCCTAGATTAGAGAGATAAGATAGCTCTATTAATTTTCATCGGGAGAAGAACCAGCTGTCAACAAGGATATATGTGTGTTCGTTTTATATATATTTGCATGTGGTTGTATATTTACTATGTATTGTGGTATTGTTAGACATTATGTCTGGAATGTAGAAAAGCTGGCTGTAGCCAGTAGACACACCTTGTTGACAGCTGATACTTCTCCAGATTAAATGTATGCCTGGGTATATATACCGTACATATATATACATAGAGCATACTACTGTATTGTATATACAGGTAGTCCTTGACTTATGACCACAGCTGAGCCCAAAATTTATGTTGCTAAGAGAGAAATTTGTGAAGTGAGTTTTGCCCCATTTTATGACTTTTTCTTGCCACATTTGTGAAGTGAATCATTGCAGCTGTTAAATTAGTAACATGGTGGTTAAGTGAATCTGGCTTCCCCATTGTCTTTGCTTCTCTGAAGGTGGTTAAAGGGGATCACAACTCCAGGATGCTGCAACCGTTATAAATATGAACCAGTTGCCAAGCATCCAGATGTAAATCACGTGACCCTGGGGATGCTGCAACGGTTTCTAAGTGGAAAAAATGGCCATAAATCAGTGCCATTGTAACTTTGATCACTAAATGAACTGTTATAAGTCAAGGACTGTCTTACAATACAATGTACATATACAGTGTACATAGATACGCGCGCACACACATACTGTTTAGAGGGATTTAAGTAGTGCAACAGCATGGATTTCAGAAAGTTATTTAATTTACCATATTTGCTTCTCATTCCTGAAGGATTTGAGGGGCTAGCAGTTAGAAAAATTAGATGGGTCTCCCACTGATACATTTATTGAATAAGATGAATCTTACGATTGAAGAGGGCCTTGATGAATTGAAAACCAAGTGATTGCAATTAAATGTGTGATCAAAGAAAGGCTGGGTTTGTCTGGTTGGCAAACAAAAGTGATTAAAACATCAAAGAACCATTAGCATGGGAGATTACCTGCTGATATTGGTGTGTCATTAAAAATAATTATAGTAACTGCCTGTTTCCCAAGATAATGTACAGTAGACTTCGATCAGAAGGGAATTTATGACAGAAGCTGTTTACACTGTTTATTTTCCTAATGGCTGGTAGAAACCAGATTCTAATACTTTTGGGGCAGCCTTTGCTGATTTCTGAATGCGAACTTTGCCTTCTTTTGCATTGTTTATTGTACCACTTAATTGCCTGATATGCAATCATAAGGTGCCCCATTCTTTTGTTGTGTTTATACAACATGGCTGTTCCGGTCAGTGGGAAGTCCTTTTAACCCATGCTGTGGCAGCACCTGGTCATAAATGTTCTGTCTGAGGAAAAACAACTATTTTGATAGTCTCTAATCAGCCACAAAAGAGACCTCTAACCCAGCGGTTCTCAGCCTATGGGTCGCGACCCCATTTGGGGTCGATCGACCATTTCACGGGGGTTGCCAAGCAAGACTGTCCGCCATTTTTTTCCCCTTTTCCGGCGGGTGCCTTACCTCCCTTGGGCTGGGCCAGCTGGTGGTCGGCCTGCTCCGTCTCTGCCGCTTGCCAGCTACGCCTCGGCCGGCGCAGGGGGCGGAACCACGCATGCGCGGGGCTCCCGGGCAGGGAAAGTCCTCGACTTACGACTGGTTGGGTAGTCCTCGACTTACGACCGGTTTAGTCCTCGACTTACGACCGGTTGGGGGTCGCGGCATTAAAAAGGCTGAGAACCACTGCTCTAACCCATCTGAGTGATGTCAAGGATGAAGCCAGGAAAAATCTGCCTATCTTCCCTCACTGAGTATTCCCTTTTAAGTCTGGGATCGCAACTTTGATATTCAAAGGATGAAATACGTCTAGCTTGAACATTTGTTTTTAGTTGTCCCCGTTTAAATAACATGGATTTGTCCGTAGCAATTTTACTTAGGCTTCATAGCTTGGGGGGGTCGTTTCTCAACCTCAGCAACTTTAAGATGCATGGACGTCAGTTCTCACAATTGCTCAGCCAGCAAGCTATATGCTGGTTGGATAATTTCCAAGGCAAAGTTATCCAAATGCACTGAATCAAAAGCACCCTTTATTATATTCTGAAAATGTTGCCTTTGTTCCTTAAGGCAGCTGAGAATGGAGCCACAGGGGTGGAACTGGACCTTGAATTCACTGCAGATGGGGTTCCTATCCTGATGCATGACGAAACGGTGGACAGGACCACTGATGGCTCTGGAAGTTTACGTGAATTGACATTTGCTGATATTCGACAGTTTAATCCAGCTGCTAAACATAGATTATGGTAAGGGAACAACCCATAGTTCATTCACTGAGTCATGCCCAATTTTATGACTTGGGTTGCCAGTCCACAGACCGTGGGTTGGGGACCCCTGGTCTGAGTGGTTTACATAAATATATGCTGGTTGCCAAGTGCCCAAATTTTAATCAAGTGCCCACGGGGATGCTATGAAAATCGTAAATGTGAGGGTTGGTTGCAAGTAATTAATTTTGAACAGTCATTAAACGGTAAATGTGAGGGTCAGTTGCAAGTAATTAATTCTGAACAGTCATTAAACAGTTATAAGTCAAGGACTACAGGTTTGCCACTTGCGAAATAGATAGTCATGTCTTCTGGTGTTTAAATGACTCATTGTTCAGGGATCTTTAAAGAACTTGTAAGGATTTGTTTTGCTTTTTTAGTGGAATATGTCCTTGGATTTTAGTGGTGGTACAGTGTGAAGGGGGAAATAATTCCTTTTTTTTTTTAATTGGATACTTTTCTGTTTGAAATGGACACCTTTCAAATTGGTATGCTGATTTTTCTGCAGGAAGGATTATCGTGGGGAAAAAATACCAACCCTAAAAGAAGCTGTTTTGGAAAGTTTACATCACGACCTCATCATCTACTTTGATGTCAAGGGACATGCAAATCAGGTACCAGTTTGTAACAGTTTTTCCTTTCCTGTAGACCTCTTCCATTTGACAAACACGTTCTGACGATAACATGCTGAAACAAACGAAGTGCTTTTTTTTAAAATACTATTTTTTTATTCACGGCACTAAAGTAATGATTAGGTAAAGGTTTTCTCAGACGTGCTTTTTTCTCTAATTCGTAGAGCTGTGTTAAGGAAGGGACAGAGCTGGTGGACTTTCTTTCTTTTTTTTTAAGGCACCGATAAACAGCAAAATTTTTCTGATACTAGTATAGAGTATCAGAGTATCTGTTTACATAGAGTTACTCTCACCTAGCACCAGCCAGTAAAACTCGTGCCTCTGACAAGGCTCTTTCTCAGTCCTGTTATCTATATAAATAAAAAAAAGTGTAAATGTTCGTTTGTTCAAAATCTTAAATCTCCAAAAGTTCTTCACCGATTGCATTCGAATACGCGCGTGTTTTTATATACCTATATTATATAGATGTCACACCTGTGACAGGTAAAAACATGCTTTTTTTTAAAAAACAGCACCATCTGTTGGACGTAAAAGCAACACACGCTTTTACCAGACTGAGCCACAGCAACGCGTGGCTGGGTACAGCTAGTTTGAAATAATCAAAAGAGTGAGGTTGGAAATTTGTTCACTGACTTTAGGGCTGAATTCTCACTTTTTCCCTGAATCAGTGTCCTTTAAATTAAACTGAGTTTCTGTTTTAAATTAAACTGAGTTTCTGTTTTTGAAAGCAACTTTTCCATATACAGTAGTACATTCTGCTCCATTCACCTGTATTATTGTGTGTATTATTTTCCAGAGCACAAATTATTTTGCGCCATCCCCTCTGCACATGCCACTTTCATCAGTAACATCTTCTATACAAGAATTCCTTCCGGTAGCTGAAGTGCATAAGAAAAAAAAAAAACACCTTTGTCCATTTTTAAAAAATGCCATTTTCTTTTTGCTGGCAGGCAGTTGCAACCCTGACAAAGCTCTACCTAGAATATCCACGGCTGTACAACACCAGTGTGGTCTGCTCGTTTATGCCAGATGTTGTCTATAAGGTGAAGATTTCAAAGTGCTATTAATATTTCATAATTCCGTGACACGATGATAGGGTGTTTTTGAGTAAGTGGTGTTATACAAGGTGCACAACATGCTATCTGATAAACAGGGAAGCATATGCTACCTATTTTTTAGAGCCTGAACGTAATCTAGTTTATTTTAACATGATCAATAAACTGTGGGCCTTCCCTATATTGGAGAGTCAGTATAAGAAGAGTTCGTTGGGTTAAGCCTAAGGGTTGATCATATTGGTATTTATTTTACCTTGGCTCAGTGCTTTTTAATGCTTGTGTGTTCAGTTTATAACACTTAATGCCCTAATTCATCTCCCTAGGGAAAGAGTGAGTAACAGATAACTTTCTGTATGCATTAGGTAGTATATTTGGGTTTTAAGGCATATATGCATTGACTGAATTGCTCACCTTCAGATGTCCTATCAAATGCTGAAGCATTTCTGAACAAGATCTGTTCAACTTGGAAGGAAATGCTCACGGGGGGGGGGGGAAAAATCAGTGGGATATTCTTCTAAGTTTTGGATTGTAATGCAAAGCAAGGTGGAACTTCCTACCGCACACGATTTGCAGTTTGATTCTCATGACTTCCCAAACTGCCCAGAAAGTAGGCGTTGTTAAATCTCTTGTATCATAACCTCATTTAGCTATCAGGGTGCACGCATTTAGCTCTGTGTTGTTTGGTCTTTTAGATGAAACAAGCTGACAGAAATGTCATAACAGCTCTGACCCACCGGCCGTGGAGCCTCAGCCACTACGGGGATGGGACGCCTCGCTATAAAGCTTTTTGGAAACACTATTTGTCTATGGCCCTTGATGTTGTCATGGACTGGAGCATGCACAACTTCCTATGGCATTTATGCGGCGTTTCTGTTTTCCTGATGCAGAAAAATTATACTTCACAGTAAGTTGATTGTCTAGAGAAAAGAAGGCCAGCTGGTCTCCCATTTATGAAACGGAGACCTGGGGAACAATGAGATCTATAGAAAGCTCTCTCTGGATGAATCCCAAATATAAATGGCTTTTAATGCTGAAGGACATTGGATCTATAACGAGCCTTTTCTGGATGAATCCCCAATTTAAATGGCTCTAATTGCCTTCTTGGGTTTTTAAAGGAGAAATAAACTGTATCAGAACAGTAAAGAGGTTTTAGAAACATTTTTAAAGTAACCCGGAGTACGACTGCTTGTCCCCTCATATCATTTTTCCCTTCTTTCTTTTAGGGACTATATAAATAGATGGTCTTCTAAAGGGGTTCACGTTGTCGCTTGGACCGTCAACACGCTTGCTGAAAAAATGTATTATGAAAATGTTCTCCAGACCACCTATATGACCGACAGCTTACTAGAGGATTGCGACCCTCATTACTAGCTTGATCTTCAACTACCGATTGGCTTCATTAATCAGACTGGAGTTCAGGGGGACTTTTATGATTTTATTTCGCGAAGGCTGCATCACTTCCCTCAGGGAGAGAAAAATGATTACATTTCAGGTCGCACCCAAACTCCTTCCTTTTTGCTTGGATGGAGATTTCTCACGGGTATCACTTTTCCTCCAAGAAAGAATCAGCATTTTTAGTCAAGTAGATAACGTGCAGCTTAAATGGGGAAAATAAAACACGATATACTACAAGGTAGGCAAAATTAAGGGGGTTGGGAAATGAACTTCTTGGAAAACGCACAAATGCTCCATTTTTCCCCTGGGCCATCCCTGGTTGGGCAGTTTCTCGGAAGCAAATCCTCCAAATTAGAAATGGTGTCAAGGTGTTCCAGGGGTCTCCTTGCCCCCAAGCAGCTTTATTTTATCCAGTTCAGAAAAATGGCCAGTTACCCCGGCTGCATCATTTAGCAACAGAAATTCTGGCCCCAGTTGCTGTCAGAAGTTGAGGACTACCCGTAGTGAGTTTGAGGAGAACACTTCCAACTGGCTAGCATGCAAGTATTTTCTCTCTCCTGCCCATAAGTTCAAGGTACAGTTTTGATAATGCAATTAATCTCTTATCAATACGTAGCAAGGCAAAGTGCAATATATTTTGATGTGATCGGGCACTTAATGGAAGCTGGGCGTGGGGGCTTTTCACAGCTGCCAGGGCTAGGATGATCAAAGCGGGGTGCATTTCTTGTGGTTTTGAAAGTTAGCTTTTGTTGAAGGTTGCATTTCACACTTGAAAGAAATGTTTACATCGCAATTGTTTGTGTAAAACCTGAAACAGTCCTCTAGACTGCTTTTTTTTCCCCCAGTTCTTTTCAGAATTGAGACTTGCTCAAAATCGAAAGACTGCCAACCATTTGTAAGGATCGCTTCCATCAGGATTGAAAATGTCCCCTCATAAAGCATCACTGTGTTAAAAGAGTACAGCAATAAAGGTTTTTGAAATAATTCTAGAGGACTGTTGTAATGGAAACCACTACTAGAAAAAGAGAGAAAACTGGTGATAAATTATCTCACACATGCAGGTTATTCGATTATCTGAAAATGTGACATTAAGAAGGTGCTACACTAGTGCAAAAGCGAGTGCCTTAAAGTTTTGCAGTCAAGCACAAATAAAATTTTTCATATTTCTTAAGCAATCTGTCACTTGGATAATTTGGATGAAGCTGAAATGGGCATGAGGCAGCTGCCATTAATTTTGTTCCCAAAGAAAATGTGATTTATCAATTGATGTATAAAATGCAGCTGCTAAGTCAGACAAAATATGTATTTGCGGTTATAATATTCCAAGATTCATTTCCCCGATACATCACTGTTTAAACTGAAATGAATATAAATCTGTTTCTGCCTTTTTTGCCATGCTGCTATACATGGTTTTTTTTTAAATCAATGTTTCCTTTATTATTCTCTGTACTGTACAAATCTCTCTATAATTTCTGTAAAACAAAAATCCTGATAATTCAAAGAAATAAATTTGGAGAGAAAATAATGATGGTGTTTAAGGAATTATTACCCAACTATCAGATTTCCATAATAAAATAAATTAACGTAGACCTTTTCCTCAAATGTACAGTAAGTTTTGATGAGACCTGGGGAGAGATCGTTGTCACAAGGAATAGTTTGGCACTTGCATTTTCTGAAGTCCTAATAAAGACAAACCTCAACAAATGTAAAAGTGCCCAGTCGTTTCATTAAACATTTCTCATTTTTAGAGTTCTAGGAGGTTCCTGCAAATACTTTATTTGTGCAAACAGCAAAGTTCTAGATAAAAAGTGCTTGTTGGGGTGTGCGTATTACTTAATTCTCTACTTCCACTTCAAGCTTTCTTCATCTTCCATTTCCCATTCAGCTTCTTTTCTCGCTCTCAAAGCCAAAACCAGGGCATCAGATACTCCAGCATCCTGGGTTATTTTGTCAGCCTCTGTTACAAGCAAAAGGAAGAAAAAAGGTGTAGTGTAGTTCAGAATAACAGAGTTGGAAGGGACCTTGGAGGTCTTCTAGTCCAACCTGCTGCTCAAGTAGGAGACCCTGTATCAGGGGTAGGCAACCTTGGCTCTTTTATGACTCGTGGACTTCAACTCCCAGAATTCCTGAGCCAGCATGAGGGAAACTTTGGCCCCTTCATGACTCGTGGACTTCAACTCCCAGAGTTCCTGAGCCAGCATGGCTCAGCTTGGAAACCTCTCCCTTTCCCCTCAGTGTGGCTGGCTCAGGAATTCTGGGAGTTGAAGTCCACGAGTCATAAAAGAGCCAAGGTTGCCTACCCCTGTCTTATACCATATCAGACAAGTGGCTGTCCGATCTTTTCTTAACAGCCTCCAGTCTTGGAGCACCCATAACTTCTGGAGGCAGGTTGTTCCACTGGTTAATTGTTCTAACTGTCAGGAAATTTCTCCTTAGTTCTAGGTTGCTTCTCTCCTTGGTTAGTATCCATCATTTCTTGTCTTCTGGTGCTTTGGAAAATAGGTTAATCCCCCCTCATCTTTGTGGCAGCCTATCCATGTTCCTAATAGTCCCCTTAGGATTTTTTTCTCCCAAATGCCACCCGCATTGAACACCCAATTCTCCTGCCTCAGATGTCCATGGACCTGTGGCCACATGGTCAGTGAAATCACCCTGATTTCTACAGATGTGTGTTTTTTTTAACCTCTGTAGATGTGGGGAAGCCAGGAATTACCACCAAACTTTGGGTTTGCCACCAAATTTCAGAAGTACAATTTGGGACGCTCTGAGGGTTATCTCAACCTTTTATAGACGGCTACATGCCTAGGCTTGCTCTTCCTGTCCCAAGTGCCAGGAGAAGCTTTGTTGACTTCCCTATGGCCTCTTTCTACACACTTGGCCCGTTTGATTGTGTCACTTCCCCTTCCAGACAAAACTAGAGAGAAACCTTGTGTCAAGCTTGACGTACGATGATTACAGAGTTACTTCACCGAGTTCCTTTCTCCTAGCCGTGTTTTGATTTCCCAATCTAGCCTGTAGTCATAATACTAATGTACTAATTATAGTTTACTTAACTGTTCTGCCTAATATTTAGTACTTACCAGGATTAAAGGTAGCCATGGCAGGGCGTCTAGCAGACTGTAAAGGAGACAAACATAAACTTTGATTTGAAACACAGACCAGTTTTAAACATTATAAAGCAGCTAATTCATCAAACGTATTCTGTAACTCTGTATCCTGATAGTACTCATTCATACTACTGATTTAAATTTAAATAATTATTCATAAAACCCAACATGTTAATATTTTTCTACACTTACTGGAAATTAGCTTAGCCTTTCTGCTTTTCGTTAGCATCAAATTCATGATGGGACCTATTACCTTCATTGTATTTCCACACATACTGAGTATTTCCCATGCCAAAACCTTCTACATCAGGGGTCTTCAAACTTGGCCCTTTTGTGACTTGTGGACTTCAACTCCCAGAATTCCTCAGCCAGAATTCTGGGAGTTGAAAGTCCACAAGTCATAAAAGGGCCAAGTTTGAAGACCTTTGTTCTACATCGACTAGTTGACTTGTTAATCGGTTAAAAGAATGAGGCTAAGGATGTTCAGACAACTACGGCAATGATCACAATTGCTGAGCAATTTGGAGGTACAGAGAATAAAGTTCAAGACACAAATAAGTTCATTTAAAAAAAAAACCTCAAAACTTTCAGGGGTTTTGCTGTCCTATAAAAAGGAAGGAGAGCAAAAGAATTCCTATAAACTTCATTTCTTCTTGTGTTCCTTCTCTGGCCAGCCCCCTTCCTCAATCTTGCTCTTTTATTAGGTGGCTTGGCCGCAAGGCCATGGGATGAAAATTACGGAAGTTGTGGTCCAGCCCATCTAGAAAGTACCAAACTGGAGAAGGCTGGGCCAAGAGCTATCAAAAGCCCAATATTGTGAGGAAATAAGCTTTCTATGTGGCGGAGACTAATAATAATAATAATAATAATAAGAATAATAAGAATAAGAAGAATAAGAAGAAGAAGAAGAAGAAGAAGAAGAAGAAGAAGAAGAAGAAGAAGAAGAAGAAGAAGAAGAAGAAGAAGAAGAAGAAGAAGTTGGAAGGAACCTTGGAGATCATCTAGTCCAACCCCCTGCTCAGGCAGGTAACCCTATACCATTTCGGACAAATGGCTGTCCAGTCTCTTCTTAAAAACTTCCAGTGTTGGAGCATTCACCGCTTCTGGAGGCAGGTTGTTCCACTGGTTAATTGTTCTAACTGTTAATTGTTCTAAGAAGTTTCTCCTTAGTTCCAGGTTGCTTCTCTCCTGGATCAGTTTCCATCCATTGCTTCTTGTCCTGCCTTCAGGCGCTTTGGAGAAGAGCTTGACTCCCTCTTCTTTGTGGCAACCCCTGAGATACTGGAAGGCTGCTATCATGTCCCCCCTCGTCCTTCTCTTCGTTAAACTAGACATACCCAACTCCAGCAACCATTCCTTATATGTTTTAGCCTCCAGTCCCCTAAGGTATCCTTCAGATTATCATTTCCCATCTTCTCCAAACATCAAGATGGCCAAGGTTGGTGAAGTATAACGGGAGGTGAAATCCAACCTAACTACAAGGCAGCATGGAAGGGTTAGCATCTGCAATTAAAAAGCTTTTGTGTAAAGCAGGGGTTCTCAACCTTGGCAACTTTAAGACTTGTGGAACTCCCAGAATTCCTCAGCCAGCTTGGCAGTTGAAGTCCACAAGTCTTAAAGTTGCCAAGGTTGAGAACCCCTGGTGTAAAGGAAAGTGCTCATACCACATCCTCAACTGCACCTGCTATTACCTCAGTAGAAGATTCTCTCCAGAGAAAGGGCTCCACGCAGCTGGGCAGCAAAACAGAGCTTTGCTCCTTAGGCAGCTGGCCGAGAGAGGAGTCCCTCTGGAAGACCAATCAAAAGTTGACTTACTTTCCGTTCTTGACTAGCGTTGTGTGTGTCCAATTATGCATCCATCCCCAGCTTCTCATAACAAATTCAAGATAAAAGGTCAAATCTGCAAAACTCACCTCTGGCTGCCTTCTCAAAGAGGGCATCTTAGAAGCTTGCAGCCCACGTAATTTCTTCAGTAGAAACATTTTATCTTTGCCAGCCTATAAAATCAAGGAACAAATAAAAAAGGGACGGTGAGTTAGATGAATTAATCTAATGTTTTATTTTAGAAAGTTAATTAGCAACAGTCAAGTGCCTTGCTTGAAAAGTAACCCTTCCTTTTTTAAAAAATCAATGAAATATATTTCTATTCGCTGCAGTCAAAAATACTCTTGATGGCTTACCTAGACACCTAAGCTTCCACAATATAATCTGAAATTTGATTAAAACTTCATAGGTAACTATAAAAACCACGATACCTCAAAACCTCAAGAAGCGTAATAAAAAATAAAATTACAGATATATTGCAATCCGTTCAACAGAGTAAATGCGTATCTTAGATCAAGATATTAGGAAGCCTTTTAACCAAAAACTAAACTTTCCTGAGAGTTCAGTGTCTAGCCCAGAGGTAGACAACCTCGGCTCTTTTACGACTCGTGGACTTCAACTCCCAGAATTCCTGAGCCAGCGTGGGGAACTTTGGCCCCTTCATGACTTGTGGACTTCAACTCCCAGAATTCCTGAGCCAGCATGGGGGAACTATGGCCCCTTCATGACTGGTGGACTTCAACTCCCAGAATTCCTGAGCCAGCATGGGGGAACTTTGGCCCCTTCATGACTTGTGGACTTCAACTCCCAGAATTCCTGAGCCAGCGTGGGGAACTTTGGCCCCTTCATGACTGGTGGACTTCAACTCCCAGAATTCCTGAGCCAGCATGGGGGAACTTTGGCCCCTTCATGACTTGTGGACTTCAACTCCCAGAATTCCTGAGCCAGCGTGGGGAACTTTGGCCCCTTCATGACTCGTGGACTTCAACTCCCAGAATTCCTGAGCCACAATGGGGGAACTTTGGCCCCTTCATGACTCGTGGACTTCAACTCCCAGAATTCCTGAGCCAGCGTGGCTCAGCTTGGAAACCTCTCCCTTTCCCCTCAGCATGGCTGGCTCAGGAATTCTGGGAGTTGAAGTCCACCAGTCATAAAAGGGCCAAGTTTGAACACCCCCTGATCTAGAGTGACAGGATTTCTCATTGAGAAAATACTTACGTTAACAATTTGCTCTTGTAGCAGTTTAACCATTGTTTTCCGTCCACGGATGATTTGCCAGAAAAGGTATATGAGCATCCTAAAACAGAATTAGGGATATAAAATTACTGCTGGCCCGTAAACTATGGAGGCAAGATCAGCCAGGATTCCAAACTCTGCTGTCAGACCGAATAAACCAATAAGGGAGAATATTTGTAGCTCAGGGTTAAAAGAAGGAGTCCTCAGGATTCTCTGAGCTTCGTTGTTTTCTTGCGGACGTTTCATTACCCAAAGTAGATAATGACTACAAATATTCTCCTTTATTGGTACCACATAGGGCAGTGGTGGCGAACCTATGGCACGGGTGCCAGAGGCGGCACTCAGAGCCCTCTCTGTGGGCACACACACCATGCCCCGGAGATGGCAACCGTCCCTCTTCAACCAGCCGCCTGCTAACTCGCTGAGTCGCTGAGGTCCCACATGGCCGGATGCATCCCAGCACCCATGCGCTCGCTGTCCTCTGTGGGCGGGGGCCGATGGTGTCAGACAGCAGCTGCCCCGGCCTGTCTCACCTTGCCCTGTGACAATGGCACCCCCGCCTTGCCTCGCCTCACCCCACAGGACGAGCCTCCTGCCCACCGCCCCACCTGCCAGAGACCCCCTGGATCTCCCCCAACCCTGCCCGGCCCCCACAGGCGTCCCTCCCCACGAGCAACATCGAGGTGATCACGCCCTCCTTGGCCACACCCACCATATCTGCCATGACCACCACAGCCACGCCCACCCAGTGGGCCACGCCCACCTGGCACCCGGCGAGAAATAAGTGGGTTTGGGATTGCAGTTTGGGCACTGGGTCTCTAAAAGGTTGGCCATCACTGACACAGGGGCATCAAAGATTTCAGAAAGAAGAGAAATGGGAAAAACAGTAACCACTTTTCTTCCACTGAAGTTATTAACTAGCTGGGTAATGAAATGTCTGCAAGAATGTCGCCAAGGTGGTCCCCAAAGGTCACCAAGAGAGCAACAATGACTCCTCAGACAGAAAAAGCCCATAATTCATAAGGCACATCATGTATAGAGGTCCTGCATTGTTAAAGAGTCCCTTTAACAAACGGGTCACCTTCCTTCTCCGTCCCACCCTTCCCCACCCCCCTTTTGTGGGAAACTTACAACACAATGATAGAAAGGATGGAGAAGAAGTGTGTGCTCTCGATTAAGTTGCGGTAGATCCACACTACCCATCCTGAGCTCGGTGAAGAAGTCAAGACTGAAATCCAGCCAGAGATAGCTTCGTAGGGAGATGTCAGACCTCGGAAAGGGCCACACGCTTCGGAAGGTTTCCGTCTTGGAAAATAAAGAGAGGGGGGGAGAGAAAAGGACAGGTTCTTTTCACACAAACATAGTCAGTTTAGAAGTTTGTTGAAGGAAACACTCATAGACGGAAGGCAGCCTCAGAGAGATCACTGGATATCGGCTGGGACCAGGTCCCTAAAGAGATCTACGAATCTTGAGACCTCTGACCTTGTTGATAAGGATTACCATGATGGGTGAGACTAGGGCAGGGGTAGGCAACCTTGGCTCTTTTATGACTCGTGGACTTCAGTACCCAGAATTCCTGAATCAGCCATGCTGGCTCAGGAATTCTGGGAGTTGAAGTCCACGAGTCATAAAAGAGCCAAGGTTGCCTACCCCTGGGCTAGGGAGGGGAGCAAAGAGGAAACCCATACGAACAGAGGAGCTGCCAGACCTTTGAGGTAGGCTAGGTCAAGAAGATGCATGGCTCTTTATTGTTGGGGTCCTCAAAGTTGGCCACTTGAAGACTTGTGGACTTCAACTCCCAGAATGAGAGATGAGAGAAGCAACCTGGAACTAAGGAGAAACTTCCTGACAGTTAGAACAATTAACCAGTGGAACAACCTGCCTCCAGAAGCAGTGAATGCTCCAACACTGGAGGTTTTTAAGAAGAGACTGGAGAAACATTTGTCTGAAATGGTATAGGGTTTCCTGCCTGAGCAGGGGGTTGGACTAGATGACCTCCAAGGTCCCTTCCAACTTTATCATTATTGTTATTGTTGTTGTTGTTGTTGTTGTTGTTGTTATTATTATTATTCTCCAAAGTGCCTGAGGGCAAGACAAGAAGCAACGGATGGAAACTCACCAAGGAGAGAAGCAACCTAGAACTAAGGAGAAACTTCCTGACAGTTAGAACAATTAACCAGTGGAACAACCTGCCTCCAGAAGCAGTGAATGCTCCAACACTGGAGGTTTTTAAGAAGAGACTGGAGAAACATTTGTCTGAAATGGTATAGGGTTTCCTGCCTGAGCAGGGGGTTGGACTAGATGACTTCCAAGGTCCCTTCCAACTTTTTTATTATTATTATTATTATTATTATTATTATTATTATTATTATTATTATTATTATTATTATTATTATTATTATTATTATTATCATTATCATTATTATTATTATTATTATTATTATTATTATTATAATATAAGGAACGGTTGCTGGAATTGGGTATGTCTGGTTTAATGAAGAGAAGGACGAGGGGGGACATGATAGCAGCCTTCCAATATCTCAGGGGCTGCCCCAAAGAAGAGGGAGTCAAGCTATTTTCCAAGGCACCTGAAGGCAGGACAAGAAGCAATGGATGGAAATTAATCAAGGGGAGAAGCAACCTAGAACTAAGGAGGAATTTCCTAACAGTGAGGACAATTAACCAGTGGAACAACCTGTGAATGCTCCAGCACTGGAAGTTTTTGAGAAGAGACTGGACAGCCATTTGTCTGAAATGGGATAGGGTTTCCTGCCTGAGCAGGGGGTTGGACTAGATGACCTCCAAGCTCCCTTCCAACTTTACTACTACTACTACTACTACTACTACTACTACTACTACTACTACTACTACTATTATTATTATTAAGACAACCGTGGCAGGAAAGGTCATAAAATGGGGCAAAGCTCACTTAACCACTGTCCGGCTTAGCAACAGAAATGTTGAGCTCAACTGTGGTTTGTAAAGGCGAGGATTACCCATAAACATAAATCAAAGTGGGGTTACTGGGAGTTTCTTTCTCACACCTCCCCTCCTCAAGACCGGATATTTTTTTTCCGAAAATCCCCCCCTCTTTAATGATTGGCTCATTCCTCCCCCCACGCCCAAAGCCAGCCCTCCATTTCCTTCCCAAGGAACCAATGGATCCAGGAGAAGCAAATACACCAACGACCCGCCGCATCGTGCCCAAGATTTCTCCAGAACCTGGGCTGAAATGTCAAATAAGGGCCCGCAGCTGCTTGAACGGGGTGGACCCACAGAGCTCCTGACCTCCAGACAGTGACCGCCACGGCCGAGAGGACTCCGGTGAAAGAGGGGAAAAAGAGCAGGAAGACGAAAATGGTGTTCATCTGGGACCCTCGCCAAGCTTTGCGGGGCGGCTGGCAGTTCTTCAGCAGGCTGATCTGGAGGGGCAAGGCAGAGAGGTCACAGGCAGGCCAGCAGCTTGACCCGCACACACAGAACACCGAATCGAAGAGGGGCAGCCTTTTGGCCTTGCCAGCAGCAAAATATTCAGCCCTGAAGCTAAAGGGAGCAAAGCAGTGGCAGACACAAAAAGACAGCTCACGTGTGGGGAGGCAACCGGTCTCCCCATTTTTTAGGCTCTGCTACGGGGAGATGGAAGAGGGAGGAGCAAATGCAGAAACAGATGCCACTTAAAAATCAGCAATTTGTGGTCAACTGTTGATGGTGTCAACTTGGGGGGGGGTCACCAAAAGGAGCAGCGGGGCACATGCACACCTGGAAAAGCTGTAGCACGGGGTAGGTTTGCTCAATACCATATGTAGCTCATGCATTCCATCCTTCTGAGGTCAGTAAAATGAGGACCCAGATTGTTAGGGACAACAGGCTGACTCTGTAAACCTCTTAGAGAGGGCTGGAAAGCACTGTGAAGCGGTATGTAAGTCTAAGTGCTATTGCTATTACATGCTATCAATCATTGTCAATTCTTGGTGACCACATAGAGCAGGATGTCAAACTGCCGGCCCGTGGGCCAGATGCATCATACTGAAACCGCGCCCACTTCATTGCCAGTAATGGGGGGAAAGTCGCAATACATCACGTGACGTCACGTGACGTCGCGAGTTTGACATGCCTGACATAGAGTAATCTTTTCCATGATGATTGGTCTTTAACCTGGTCCTTCAGCTCTTCCAAAAGCACCCCCATCGTCACTGTAACTGAGTTTACGGCTTAGCAACAAGTATGGCTTAGCAAACTGCACGAGTCCTGATCGTGCCTCATCCATGTGCTGTGCCCCCAGAGTGCTCTTGATCATCAAACTGAGTAAAAGGCAACTGATCTGGGGGGGGGGTCCAAGTATAATCCATAACAGCAAGAGTCTTGAGGAAGAACAGTGCAATTAAGGCTGGCGAGGAAAAAAAAATCACAAAAAGCAGCCTAACCTTTTTCACACAAAATATGATGAAAAATGTTATCATCTGGATGGCCGGAAGCAGAGGGGCGAAAAAGATCCCGATCCTGAAGAAAAGAGGGGAAAAAAAATGAGATTCAAGGACAGGACACACTTCAATGTAAGCAGAGAGTGTTTTTCTGTGCTTGGATAAGGGTATTTATCGATCTGGATTTGTAGCCCAGCCTGGGACTCTTCAGAATGTGATTTCCTCCCCCCCCCCAAAAAAAAACTCACCATGTCAAAGTCTGAGCGTAGATCAAATCCAAAACATTTCGAGCAATGTCGAATTCTGGCACGCCAATTTTTTTACAGCATTTGGTGCCAATAAGCCTGAAATGGTAGATTTGTCAGTTATTAGGGAGTTTGGCAACCTCTTCCAGAGCAGATTATGCAGCAGCTCTGCAGAAAGACATTCTGGATGTGTCACCGTTTTTAAGGAGTCTTTTTTTCCAAAAGGGAAGTTGTTCTTTTGATCAATGGAAGATTATCAGAAGCCCAATTCACTGGGGATATAAATACACTAATCTGGACCTGTGAGTGATCATCTATAATAGCACGTTTCCAACTCCTAGCATGACAATATTTTTTTTAATTATTATTTTGGTAGAGGAAAGGAAAAACAATTGGGGTACAACAAGGTAGACCTTCAGCCAACCCCCTTCTCCCAAGTTCCATTTAGAAACTGATAACAAATTCCTGATTTCTGGATCTGCTTTGAAGGACTTTATTTTTTTCCCCTACTTTTAAATGATCGTCCTTTGCTCCTGGTTCTGGATTGAGGGGGTTCTGCTGATATAACTGTGGCCTAGCAGAGATGCCTCCAACCTGCTTATTCCAATCTAGCAATTTCCAATCCAGATGTGGAAATACAAATAGTTCTCAACTTACAACCAGAATTGGGACCGCACGTTCTGTGGCCCAGCAGAGTCATGCCTGATTTTACAATCTTTTTTGCTCCAGTTCTTAAGCAAATCATTGCAGTTTGAAGTGAGTTGCAGTCATTAAGCAAATCTGTCTTCCCCTTTTGATTTTGCTTGTCGGAAGCCAGCTGGGAAGTTCGGAAATGGTGATCACGTGACTCCCCCCCCCGGACATGGCCATGTTGTAAATATAGGCCATTGGGCAAGCACCCACATTTTGATCACGTGACCGTGGGGATGCTACGTGTCGGTTGTAAGTGCAAGGACTGGTCGTCATGTTTTTCAGTGCCATTTTAACTTTAAACCAGTGGTTCTCAACCTTTTTAATGCCGCGACTCCAACCGGTCGTAAGTCGAGGACTAAACCGGTCGTAAGTCAAGGACTAACCAAAGTCGAGGACTTTCCCTGCCCGGGAGCGCCGCGCATGCGTGGTTCTGCCCCCTGCGCCGGCCGAGGCGTAGCTGGCAAGCGGCAGAGACGGAGCAGGCCGACCACCAGCTGGCCCAGCTCAAGGGAGGTAAGGCACCCGCCGGAAAAGGGGAAAAAATGGCGGACAAACAAAATGGCGGACAAACAAAATGGCGGACAGCCTTGCTTAGCGACCCCCGTGAAATGGTCGATTGACCCCAAATGGGGTCCCGACCCACAGGTTGAGAACCACTGCTTTAAACGGTGCCCAACGAATTAAGCTGAGGACTATCAGCATGAAAGCTTGATTTGGATCAAATATCAGACTTATGCACGTACCGTAGTACAAATTCACCGAAGAATGAACCCAGGAGGCAGCAGACAAAGTCTGCTATAAGCAGCCTGTATATGTCTTGGCCAATGAAGGTTTCCCAGCACTAATGGGGAGAACAAGAGATTTAAAAAATGTCATTTATTCGTGGAACATGTTAAAGCTAAATTCCGGATTTGCGGACATCAACTCCCAAGAATTCTCAGCAGTGGCTGTGCTGGCTGGGAAATTCTGGGTGAAACCATCTACACGCCTGGAAAATATTATCCAGGTCAGAGAAGGTTGAGAGCTACACCCTCAAAGAGTTTATTTAGTTTTGTGAAGTCAACAGCTATCTTTTAATAATCTTAGTTTATGGCTTAATGTATTGTACAAAACCAGCCAGTGGCAGCTTGATCAATGAACCCTCAGTAGCTAAACCATGGCTTAGCCCAATCTGTGAATCCAGCTTAAGTTAAAGAAGGCCTCTCATCACTTAATAAGGAGTTTTGCACCCGTACCAAAACATGCTTGAAAGACCTACCTCCACTTTGGAGAGAGCTACTACGTTGAGCCAGTAGTAGCAGAGGACTCCAATGGTGGATATTTTCAAGATGACATTCCTACAAAAGAGGAAGCAACAGCTCTCAGGGTTTAGAAGCATGGGGTGCTCACAACTGTTTCCTCAAAGTCTGCTCTGAACAGGATAACCGGCTGGCCGCTTACACAAGTTGAGCTGCGTTATGTGCGCACTGGATCACAGCTCGTGCGGCCCGGTTCCAAATGAGCCACGGCCCGGTAGAGGGCCACAGCCCCGGAGGTTGGGGACTCCTGCAGTAAATACTATTTAGATCAGAGGCCCCCAACCTTTTGGGCACCAGGGACCGGTTCCTTGGAGAAAGGTTTTTCCACGGAGCGGAGGGTGCGTGGTTTTGTGTGCTGCCTACATCCCACGGATGGGGCTTTGCTTGTTTGTGCGGACCGGTTGCTGGCATGCTGTGGCCCTGTATCGGTTCATGGACCGGGGGTTGGGGACCCTTGATTTAGATGGTTTGTTAGGGTCTGGTTCTCTCCAAAGGAGGGCAAAAGCAAGCCCAATGTACCTGATAATAGCAGTGTAGATCTGGTGCCTAGGATAGTCAAACTTTTCAACCAAGCTGGAGAAGGAGTACAGGAACGGCATCACGTGGTTGAAGAGGCTCACCACGATAGGCANTTGGTGCTCTCCGAGCTTGGTTGTTTTGTACTAAGCATTTCATGACCCAGCTAGGTAATATCATCAGTGCTAGAAGAGAGTGGGGTTTATGGAGAGGAGGAGGAGGAGGAGGAGGAGGAGGAGGATTGAGGGGTCCTGGGTACTCTTTGAGCTTGTGGTTTTCTTGCAGATGTTTCATTACCAAACTAGGTAACATCATCAGTGCTAGAAGGGAGTGGGTTTGCAGGGAGGAGGCGGAGGAGGAGGAGGAGGAGGAGGAGGAGGAGGAGGAGGAGGATCATCAACCAGCCACTTTGGAAGGGATCTCAAGCAACCAGATTTATTTTACAGTTCCTGGACTTTTTAAGAAAGTTGGTGATTGTAATATCTCAGTCCATCCACCTCTCTTGAATCTGGAAAGCAGTTCTCAGCTCCATACTTGGAATCAGGGCACAGCTTCCTAGATGAAGGATGGATAGGCTGAGACCGCCAGTAAACTCTGATCAAAGGGAGCAAATCCAGGACAAAGAACTGGATGCCTCCCCCCCCTCCATCTAGACTTCACTTCAATTTTAATTTCATAAATGTAAATAGAGTTGCATCCAATTAATTCATTACATCCCAACGATGATTCCTCCGGGATTTTCAACATTTCTCTATCCTTCAATTCTGCTTCATTAAAAATGGCAACTTGTAGCAATGTTTTGGGAGAGAGGTTTTAGGGGCTACACACCCAAGCTGGGTGGGAGAGAAATATAGCATCCTCAGGAATCGGCCCTTCCATCAACACCCGGTCAAGAATATACTGTCATGTTGTTCAAACCCACTCCCAGAAACGGTGCGTGTTTATTTATTCGGGATGTAATGAAGGCACGAGGAAGCAAACCATGGGGGTGTGTGTGTGGGAAACCAAAGAATTGCAGCCGACCTCTAAATTAACAAGGGAGAAGAAGTAAATGCCAGCACACGAAGCCACCGTGAAGCCCAGCGAGAGAAACCAGAAGGCCAGGTGAATCGAGAAGCGAAGAATCCTTTGCTGCAGAGTCAGCTTCAGAGATTCAATGCGCATTTCAGAAAGGGTCTCCTAGGATGAAAAAAAGAGAGAAGTTAGGTAAGTTCGAAGCAGGAGGCAGGAATTCAGGTCTGGCTTTGCATTCAATCGCTGCCCTAACATGCTGTAAGAGCCTTGGTGATGCAGTGATTAAAATGCAGTATTGCAGGCTAACTCTGCCCACTGCCAGCAGTTCGATCCTGACTGGCTCAAGGTTGACTCAGCCTTCCATCCTTCCGAGGTCGGTAAAATGAGGACCCAGATTGTTGGGGGCAAGTGGCTGACTCTTTAAACTGCTGAGAGACAGCTGTAAAGCGCTGTAAAGCGGTATATAAGTCTAAGTGCTATTGCTATTGCCACTGACTCAGCCTTCCATCCTTCCAAGGTGGGTAAAACGGGGACCCAGATTGTTGGGGGCCATAGGCTGACTCTGTAACCCCCTTAGAGAGGGCTGTAAAAGCACTGTGAAGCGGTATATAAGTCTAAGTGCTCTTCCTTCCTTCCTTCCTTCCTTCCTTCCTTCCTTCCTTCCTTCTGATCCTGACCGGCTCAAGGTTGACTCAGCCTTCCATCCTTCCCAGGTCAGTAAAATGAGGACCCAGATTGTTGGGGGCCAGAGGCTGACTCTCTAAACTGTTTAGAGAGGGGCTGTAAAGCACCATGAAGCGGTATATAAGTCTATTGCTAAGTTGGAAGGAAGGAAGGAAGGAAGGAAGGAAGGAAGGAAGGAAGGAAGG